ACATTCAGTATCAGTGCCCTTGAGGGCAAAGTAGGTACCCATCAGTCTCAGCTATTTACCTACCTATGTTGTCCGACATAAGGAAATATTTGATAGCAACTAAATATTGCTGCTCATTAATTAGCATGATCAAAATCAAACAGGTAGCTTTGCAATTTTTGTTATTGTTTCTGTTGGAGTATTCCTTGGAACCACGGATAAACAACCCAGGCCAAAATAAATCCGCCTTGGCTTCATAATTGTGTGCGTGCTGGTATGGCAAATGATATGGCTTATTAGTACTTAAATAAATGCACAGAAGGTGGTATGTCATGTATTTTGGCAAGGTAGTGTGGTATGTATTTTGACACTGGAGCTGTTTCCTATTCATTGCAGCAATGCTGCCAGCATGGTTTATTATGTGTACCATGCGCACACGAGCTCCACCAACGTAAAAATGTCATTCTCACACAAAACTCATAGTTGGATGAAGGTAGAGCAGACAGAATGAGTGGGCATTTGCTGCAGTGAGGATGAAGTCACTAGAGGCTTGAGACTTTTTTACATGCAGCAGCCTGGGGATGTCCACAGAGGCATGCCTGGGGATGTCCACAGAGGCGGATCCAGGCAATCGTTTTTACCATCTTCTCCCCATGTGCCCACTGTGTGTTGTGCTGACTGCTGGTCCCCCTTCTGGCTGTGCCTAGACTCGCCTCTGCGTATCTCCCCAGGCTGCTCCATAATGTCTAAAAAAGTCTCAAGCCTCTAGTGACTTTATTCACTCCAGTCTCCACAGCATATGCCCACTCATGCTACAGCTGCCGTAACAATACCAAAATTAGTAACAATGGTCTCATAATCATATTCAGTAAGAAATGAATTACCTAGAAAATTATAAAAAATCCACTTGCTTTCAAAAAGAATGAGCACTGCCTTAAAGGTAGTGTGCCAGCTTTCCTGGACCGTATGGAGCTAATGGCCCAGATAAGGAGAACCGGATTTTTAGAACTTATCCATACCTTCAAAACTCATGGAAACGTCTTAAATTCTTCAAATTTTGAGTACCCCAGTGCGAAATTCGCCACGACGGGTTGTCGGTCGTACCCCAACCACATTTCACACCACTATGAACAATAAATGCACACACTGAAATCGCTATTACCGATAGGCTCATCCAATCAAGTTTCGATAAACCCGTTCATCATCATCTCCTGCGGTTTCGAACACGCCTGTTAGGTGGTGCGGTAGACCGCGCCCAAAGCCAGGGCCCCGGTAACGTGAGGTAGCCGAGTCGGGGCAGCGTGCGCTGACCCAAGCCGGGGCCGCGCGTCCTCCCGGTGTCATGTGATAGCCCGGGGCTGCCCGGGGATGCGGTAGACCGCGCCCAATGCCGCGGCCCCGGCTTGGGTCAGCGCACGCTGCCCCGACTCGGCTACCTCACGTTACCGGGGCCCTGGCTTTGGGCGCGGTCTACCGCAGGTGGCTTCTGCTCATACTTTGTGGTGCGGTGGTGGTGCGTCGGGCCGCGCGCTCTGACTTCGGCCAAGAAAAATGCGTCAGCTGATCATTGTCATTTCTGCCACTTTCATGTGGTGAGATGGGGTCATAACTTTAGAGACGGCTGTTTCATGTCAATTATTTTACATAAAATAATATTTCAAACCATAAATTAATGTTCGACAGCCAAATTAAAGAAACAATACCAATACAGGCTTACAGTTTAAATTCGACATTGTGTTGTCTACGATTAGACAGCTGATAACTCATTCCCGTACGTCGTAACTCTATAATGACCTTTGCTTATTGTCACATGTGCGCCGCATTCGCGATTGTTGCCGACGCCTGTTTGCAGGTCAGCCCACTACATTTGTTATACAATCGAAAAACCGATAAACTTTTAGGCGAAAAAAGCACTATTTTAGGCCCATTTTTGATTTTTTTGCGATATTAGGTAAAAACAGAAGCTTCTTATCCTAGGAAAAATAAAATGGGAAATCTTTGGAAGGTGGCACACTACCTTTAAAATGCTAGGTGTGAAAAATGCAAGTTTTTGAACCACAGATTCCAATTCTGTGCCACCGAATACTGAAACTGACTGCCAATTGTGCAAGACAAAAAGCATCAACAATGCTACATCAAGGAGAATGATGTTAAGATAATTCTCATTTTAGCCTGAAGTGTAAAAACCTACCCTTAAATAAAACAGCGAACAAACCTAACCTGATTGGGTATTTGGGTAGTTTTATGATGCTAAGCAATAGCCTATTCCAGGTTTCCTAATTTGCAGAGTTTTGGTTAAAATTGATTAGTAAAAATGTCTTTGAAGTATGTTCTGACATGTCCGCCCTATGTGCCTGACAGACAAGTCACAGCGTTACCTGATGAGTCAAGAGGCAAAGCAGGCAAAGTTGTCTGCGGCTTATACCTTGACCTCCGAAAAGCATTTGACACTGTGAACCAAACCATTTTACTTAAGAAACTGTATGCTTACGGTATACGTGACAATGCACTTATGATGCTGAAATCATATTTAGAAGGCCGCACACAGTGTGTTGAGGTAGAGCATGTTCGCTCCAGCCTTGCTTCGGTTGATATCGGTGTTCCCCAGGGCTCCATCCTTGGGCCACTTCTGTTTTTAATTTACATCAATGACTTTCCCTCCATTTCTGATGATATAACTGCATATCTGTATGCAGATGACACAGCCATTTTCATTGAAGGCAATGATGAAGCCCATTTGCAAAGAGTCATCGACGCCACAATGCCCAAGATAGCTGTTTGGTTTCAAGCAAACCAATTATCTTTAAATACAGACAAAACTTTTTGTCAGCTCTACAATAATTCTAAACGCGCTGTCAATGTGTCTGTTTTGCTCTCTGGTGCACACATTAAATTTGTTAAAACAGTTAAGTACTTGGGCATGTACGTAGATGACGATCTGAAATGGAAATCACACATTTCACACCTTTCTACAACGCTGACTCGTAACGTTGGACTCATAAGCAGAGCTAGGTATATATTGGTACCTAAACAGCTGCTTCTTTTATATAACGCACTTTTCCTTCCGTATATCAACTACTGCTGTATGCTTTACAGCAACACTTATATTACAAACGTAGATAAGCTCGAGAAATTACAAAAGCGTGTGGTCAGAATGATTGATGGCGAACATAGACTCGCACACACAGCACCAATTTTTAAGAAACTGAAAATACTTAAGTTGAGAGACATTGGTAAGCAGCAGATGCTTCTGCTAATGCATAGAAAGTTGAAAGGAACTTTGCCTTCATCTATTGACAGACTTTTTACGATACTCGAACCGCTTCGAGATACTCGCTCAACCCATCATTTCCACGAGTTCTTCTCAGAAAAAAATTATCGCAGCTACACTACTAGGTGGTCTGCACCTAGAATTTGGAACTCAATAATTGGTCCAAAGTTCACAGATATGGAAGCAGTTCCACTAACAAAGAGAGAAATCAAGGATTTCTCAAAGCAGTTTTTTATCGATCAATACTGATACCATTGCCAACACTGACATTATTGTTCTTGTGTTCCACCTGCGTTCGTAAACATACGAATACCTGCCAATGAAATGATCCCCCATTTTATTAATTGTGGGTATGTACGTACATTTACCTGATATTGTATTTTTTACCCGCTCTCTCACAGGTACATACTTGCACAGTACATAGTTATATGTACACAATTACAGAATTTGTCTATAACAAATGCATATCACTTATGCATACCTAATTTTGGAACATTGTACATCTCTGTAACTGGGTAGGTATGTACTAACTGGGTACCTAGATCGCCACAAGAGGTGGTGGTATTTAGTGGTCTTATGTCTTTTCCCTGTTTGTCTTTTACTTCTTCTCGAACTTTTATCCCACATTTTTGTTTTGCCCTTTTCTTTTGTTAAGCTTTGCTTTTTCTCCCTATAAACACCATACAGTACGTACAGTACTAACTGTATGTCTTTGAATCATCGCCATCGCTCAATGACCTAGCTTTCTTGCTATTTACATTACTTGCTATTTGTATACCGGTCGTCTCGTCTTGGTTTGTGTACTTACAAATCACACTTAAGTTCTCCTGGATACGTAACAATACGTAAATCAGCCCTACGATACTTCCCACCGACCTGGGTTTACCGAGCAACAAGCTTGCTTAGCTCGGTATCCCTTTTCGGTGAGGATCTGACTCCTCCGGGTGTGACTAGGCTCTGTCCCTCTTCTATAATGCAAGCTTTGCATGCGCTTATTACCACTAACCCCTGGATCACTCTCTCCTTCTCACTATCTTCTTTGGGAATGGTGTAGCGGCCAGTCAAGCTACATTTAGTCTTGACTTCTTTGCCTCTTCTTTTGACATTTTACTAACTTTCTAAGTATTGTATTTAGCTTTGTTTTTGTTTGCTTTCCTTTTTCTTAGCAGGGAGTGTCGCGACTTTCTTCATATTTTTGTCTTGGGAGGTGTTAACGTAAGGTGCTGTTGTCGCGTGCATGGGTGTAGAAACGTTTTCAAGGTTGGTGTGGAGTAGGGTCGCACTCGTATCCATATGCCACGACCCGGATTGGTTCATGCTTTGTTATATGTGCCTAGTCATCGGTGAAAATGTGCACGATTGTATTCTGCTTTTTCTACTGGATTCACATATGTGCATCTTGCCTTTTTCTATAATTAAGGCAATTGTAACAATAAATAATGTACCGATCAGCTTATGTAAATATGAAAAGGCATGAACGTTCAACTCTGTGACCTTTTTTACATTTATTTATTACACATATCGTGCTTCGAACTATCACAGTCAAACATGTCGGCCCATCAGGGCATCGGGCGGGAATAGTCATCCGCCTCACGCCTGGCGCCAGTCCATCTATAGACTACAGTCTACACCATGAAACGCTGGCCCCGGATTGGTTTCTGGCTGATGAAACCAGACAGGTTCCTGGCCAGCTGTGCGACATAGGCCGACTCAACCTCACCGGGATAGGCCGCAGAGCGCACAGACTAGTCTACACCATGAAACGCTGGCCCCGGACTGGTTTCTGGCTGATGAACACCCTGGCCAGCTGTGCGACATCGGCCGACTCAACCTCATCGGGATAGGCCGCACAGACAGCCGTGGCGTTTAGACGCCGCTGGCTCATGGTCGTTCGGAGCCACGTTTTGATCCTGCGCAGGAGTGAGAAACTGCGCTCTGCGCTGCACGAGGTAGCCGGCGCAGTGAGCAGCATCTTTACCAGTTGAACCACTTCTGTCATGATCGTCCTAGCACTTACGTCCGAAATCAGGAGTTCCCTCACGTCCTGTAGGCAGCTCAGTTCGATGCCGCGCGTATGGGCATAGTCCTGAAGAGTTTCCACATGGGTTCGAAGTCGCGCCGGATTTAAGTCAAAGAATGTCGCAGTGTCGTTGATGAACTCTCCATCTTCAGGTGCCACCAGGCATCGCTCTGCGTTTGCTAAGGTAGCCGCATCAGTGCTGATCTTGAAACGCTCGTTAAGCGACGTGCGGACTGCATCTACGCCCTGGTAAAAAACCTGCCGATAGAGGTCCTTGGCGGTTTGATGTCTGTGTGGCGTGCTCCCCTCGTCCAGCCTCTTTGGAGGTCTCGTGGCTCGGGGTAGGACTGGCTCCTCCACACCTGCTTCTGTGGCAGCATCAGTGACCTGGCACCAGAACCGATCGAAGTTGTCACGTTGCGCCTCCAACGTTGTCTCCAGAGTGCCGACCATAGACAGTGTCTGCTGCAGGCTGAGTTTCGGCCCCTGTACGGCTCTGGTCACTGGAGTGACTAGGTCCAGGAGCTTCAGCGCGAGTGAAGCCGCGAAGTAGAAGCGAAAGCATGACATGCTTCTCGCAAAACCGCTCGCCGTGCTCCGAGCCTCTGGCCGGGATTCGCGGTCACTGGCTAGTTCGATTAGGAACTCCATGATCGTGACATAGTTGTTCAGAACTGATCGCACACACGCGTCACGGCAAGTCCATCGCGTCGGGCACAACGGCCGCAGAGCCGTCGCGCCGTCCTTTGCCGAGAAGGCCGCCAGCCGCTTGGGTGAGTCGCGCAGGTATTCGACCATCCGACCCAGCTCGTGCAGACCGTCACGAAGTTCACTCACTTCGGCAAACGAGTCCTGAACCACAAGATTCATGCGGTGGGCTGCACAGTGAACGAAGAGCGCCTTTGGTTGATCAGCTTTAATGAGGGCCTGGAGACCACTGAAAGCGCCGGACATGTTTGCCGCTCCATCATAGCACTGTGCCCGCAACTTGTCCATATCCAGCTGACAGCGCGTCACTACGTCACAGACGACTTTATGAAGCGTAGCCGCTTTCGTGTCGGGCAGTTCATAGAGGCCAAGGAAATCTTCGAACACCTCCAGGTCGGGTGTCACGTACCTGACGCAAATCGATGCCTGTTCGCGCCGACTCAGGTCTGCTGTCTCGTCCATTATGATGCCGTATGCTTGGCAGCTCCGCACTCTTTTTAGAATCGTTTCCTGTATGTTGTTGGCATACAGCTGCAATATTTCGTTTTGAATGTCAGGCGACAGGTATTTGACCCCCGTTCGGTTCATCCAGGTCTTCAGTCCCGGCACGTAGCTTTCCATTCGTCGGAGCATTCGACGGAGGTTGCCGGTATGCTCTTCACGGCGACGAAACGCGATGCCTTGCCCTGCTAGAAAGCCAATGGCGTCGATGATGCAGGTCAGTCCCACTCCAGCCTCTTTCAAGCTCTTCGCTGTCGCGCTGCTCACCATCTGCATCAGGTTTGATTCTCCTTGCCCTTTCTCCACTGTGACGAGGCTCTTCATGGCAGAGACATGCGTCGTTGTGGTTTCGTGTTTTTTAAGGCGCAGCGGTCCGTTTTTCCATGTCGCAAAACCTTCCGTGATGAAGTTCGCCTCGCGACGGCGCTCAGAAAACAGAAGGTTTTTGGCCTCGGCTTCACGGCAGATACTGCAGAATATCTTATCTGCTACGGCATCATACACAATCCAACCAAATTCGCGCTTCCACTTCGCACATAGCTGATAGTGTTTGGAGCTCGGACCACGGGCTACGGCTGACTGATTCTCTCCTATGGCTGCTGAAGTTGGTGTCTGTTCCACTAAGGAGCTGGTAGTGGCAGCTGACCCCGCTGAGGCGATAGAGATCGGCACATGCTCTCCAGGGGATGAGGAGTTGGAGCCGGACTGCCGAGAAGGAACAGGCTGACCATCAGGCTCGCTGATCGATGAATGGCCCTCTGAACAGGATGGCTCCTCTGAGATGGTGTCACAAGCCATAGAGTGGTCGGATCTGGTGGGATTGGGCTGCTCCTGGCTCAGGTTGACAGGATTCCTAAAACAACAGAGCATTGTGTGAAGAAAGGATCTTTTAGCATCTGAGAGGACATCATGAGGTTGAGCATGTAAGTCGTAACTTTTATATGATGGTATCAACTATATTTGCATTTCTTGTTTTTCTATACTTCTCTTATGCATGTAAGCCTTATGTAAGCATTCTGCATTAAATAAATATGTTTTATGGAAGGAAATCCTGATCAATTTAGTAGAATACTTTCACACAATAAATAACAACCAATCTTCTTCAATTTGGAACATGGTGTTAAACAGTGGACTGATAAATGATTATTCATTATACAAGAAATATTGCCAAAATCTGCTAAAGATTTTGAGTGATGGCCAAAAAACCAGGCCATGTAAAGGACATATACACAAATGATGATACCAGGAACATAATAAAAGAGGAAAAATTTAATATAATATAGCAGATAAACCAGCAATGAAGTTGAAGGGATGATTTTCAAAGCATTTAAAGTTTATAATATCTGCAATTGACTGCGAAACAATGTCAAAAACTTGGTCAACCAAATGCACAGTGCATATGGTTGACCAATGACAACGCTCAAGATAGGTACTTGATGTGAAAGTGATGGTTTATTTCACTGTCAAGTACCAAGCGACAAAGGCAGGCATCACTAACACAACATGACATTGTGAAGTCTCAAAACATTAATGGAAATACACAATGTGTAGGCTGTAGCTCATAAAGTTTAAAACTATCAGTTCTATGAAATTTCAGGCCAATCAGTTGGATATCAATGTAATAAAGCCTTCTCCCCACTACAGCAGGCGCAAGCATATTGTTCATCATGTGCATACCTCCTACAGGAAGACTTTCTGCTGATTGAGTGAGTACAAATATAAAAACCAGACCAAGAGTATTGTAGATTAAAAATATGTTAGCCATTCAAGAAGATACTCCATGGACTCCATGGACTGCGCAAAAACTGCCTTATATAAAGCTGATAGAATGGGGGCAGCCAGAGCTGAGGTCTAGGGTCATTCATCTTATAAATCATACTATTATAGGTACCCATTTAGCATGTTGTTTAAGATGTTAGGAGTGCATAATTCCACTTTTCTGTTGCATTTATGATGCAGAGGGTGAACCGTGAAGTTTAAATGAAATATATATGAATGATGAAACAGCAATTAAAAAACACACCAGTTTCCAAATCACTGCTGGTTATCCTCCCTGATGTAAATGTGAGTTATGAAATATTTAAGAACATAAGACTGCAATGAAACATAACACCATGATTCAAGAATAACCTTGAAAATATTATTTCATTAGCTCAGATACAAGGAATCAGCAAGGTACCTACCTAATAACTCTGATGCAAGGACAGCAGTAGCCATTAAAAATTGATAAAAATGATGTTTGCATTACCTATATATAACATTTCATCATGCAGTTGCGCTAGGGTCATGGCAAGTTCAAAAGCCATGGCAAGTTCAATTATTTGAAAAAAAAATTGTTTATCAAGTACATACAAGCAGCCTTGTGCCTACCTAGCCATAGCCATACTGATACAAGCCATAGTTTTTCTCCTGTGTCGGTATACCAAATAACCTCAGTCCCACTTTATGTTGGCTCAGGTCTCAGCATTCACAAATAACTAAGCTCTAGGTTTACACTTATCAGCTAAGTTGTGGATATGTATATGGAGTTATGGAGGATAATGACTAATGAGCTAGGTTAGACGAACCCGTTAAGGAGGCCATGTGGTCCAGGTATTTGATGCTTATATGCCAGGCAACATGGTAACGGGCTGGATGACATCTATCTATCTAGCCCAGTGATGCATGACATAGGTACATGGCGTGGCAGGGACGCGGGAAGTGCACAAAAGTTGGGGGGGGGGGGGGGGCAGAACAGATTCAGCGAAACTTTCGTCTTACTTTGTGGGGAACCCATCCCCCCTCCCGGCAACTCTCTATGCATTTTTGAACTCCTCTCGACCTGAGAATCGATTGCTGTATTTAGTTTCATCTTTAGAGAAGAAATGTACATTTTAGGAAAATTTTCGGCCAAAAGTTGGGGGGCCCAATGCCCCCTCTGCCCCCCCGGTTCCCGCGTCCTTGTGGCGTGGCGCGATATATTGATATAGGTACTTACTCTGCTGGTACTGGTTGGGTTTCGCGGCTCCCAAATCGCTTCTTGAAAAAGGAATCCAGTGTTCCCTGTCGCCTACGCTTCATGATACCCGACTTTTACGCCCACGTGTGCCGCTGGCCGCGTGCCAACACGTGCCCTATATATGGCCTTGAACACGTGCCAACAACAGTCTTGCCAACAGCAAGCATTTTTTGGCGCGGTGTCAGGTGAATCGCTACCAAATTTACCAAATATTTCTCAGATCGACTGTCCTATGCTGGCTTACACGATGAAATATATTGTAAAAAATAATTATTTTCAACTGAAATTTCATTTTCTTCAGCGACGGGCAATGCCCTTAATAAGATATTTGCGATGTCGTTCAAGTTGTTTACTAGCTTTCCATCAGCCATAAATTTTTCCAATCTGGCAGCGTAAAGCTTCGCCTTTTCTGGCGTTTTTGAGACGATTGCATAGCCATATCTGGCCATATCATTTTCAATATTGAGACAAAGGGTCAGGTCAAAAAGCAAGACCCTATATGTCAAAAAGGGTGCTTCTACATTGTGCTTGATTGTGTTTAGTTTTGCGGTGTGTTAAGCACATAAGCCTTTGACTTTTGTAAGAAGGAGGTTGATTTCAGGCTGGTATTTCAGGCTAAAGCACCGTGGCTGGCATGGCATATTGTATAAAGGGAAGGCATCTATTTCTGAGACTGAGAGTAAGCTAAAAGGTAAGAGGCTGAAAACTCTAACTGACTGGTACAGCCGAGTTTCTTAATTTTCATACTTTTCAATTTGGGCAGAAATTATATTGCATGTTAATTTTTTAACATCAATTGAAATGCTTTCATTATTATATTTGTCAAATGCCAGTACTGTAAGCTGGAAAGAAATGATGATTTCAATGTGATAGTGGCAATATCTTGCTTGTTCAAGCTTGCGCCATTGACCAATGACCATTGTATTTATTTAGGTTGTGATGGCCCCGGGTAGCAAGGGGGACATAAGATAAATAATGAGAAATATTTTAAGCATGGAAACTTCAAGTCTTATATATGAATTCTACTTTATCTGTCTGCATGCTAGATTGTTCAATTTAAATATTAAAAGTAATTGCTCTTTCTTGTTTCTTCATTTTGGGTCCAAATAAGCTGTTGATGGTGAGTAAAAGAACAACCTAAAGTTGGTGTGGAAATTCCACACCAACTTCAAAGTTGGTGTGGAGCACTCCACACCAAGTGAATACAAAGTTACGCCCATGGTCGCGTGGGTCAGTGGGTGGACACTCCTGGTCGTCTGATCATGGGCGGCGGCTTAGAAAAAAAAGAGGCATTATTCTGGAACACCACCTGATGGCCAACTCGACGGCATTCCTGACCCAAAAAGGAGCCTAGATCAAATTCAGCTGAATCTTCAACTTCTGCCACTGCACTGTTGACTCTGCGTAGGGACAGCATTTGCACCACGGCCCAAAGATGATCTTCCGTGGGACGGTGTGCTGCGCACCAGTCACCACACTGACGGCGGTCACCTGTGTGCTGCACAACTTTCTGTGAGGTCAGGAGATCGACACTGACGGCCCCGGACGGTGTGCTCTGATTGCGCCGAGTGTGCTCCCGCGTGTCCGGGTCTTGATGCCAATACCGCACGCGAGGCGGCGCGCGTCCGCCAAGCCCTCACATACTGCGTCCAAGGTGCAGGTGGTGTTCGGTGACAGTGTGCAGCTTCTGCCGGCCCCGTGGACGGCACCGCGTGTGACCATGGCATGTGCATTCGATTTTCTGCCATAAGTGCAGTGAATTCATTTGTCATTTTGCTTCTGAATGCTGTCGCCGCTCGGTAGGGTCGATTCTGCCAGAGTAAAGAGGTCGCCACGATCGGCGCCGGTGCGGCAAGGAGCAAGGGGCTCAGCAATCGGCTGCCGGGAGGTGGCGGCGGCTGACGACTCGGGCCTCGAAAATCCTGTCGTGTGCGTTGCTGGCTATTATGCGTTGTTGGTGTGC